CACACATACACACACATACACACACATACACACACATACACACACATACACACGTATGCACACGTATGCACACACATGCACACACATGCACACGTATGCACACACATGCACACACATACACACACATGCACACACATGCACACACATACACACACATACACACATACACACACATACACACACATACACACACATACACACACATACGCACACATACGCACACATACACACACATACGCACACATACGCACACACTGAATCACAATGGAGACAAAGTTGATCTTTACATTATTCTGCATTCTCGTCCTAGATATGTCGGAGTAGTCAAAGACACCCTCATATGCGGAGCAGATCAATGGCAACCCTGTATTGTAGTCGACCTCGTACATAGGAAGTTTATCATTTTCGATTGTTGCAGGAATAGGAATTCTAAAAAGGTTTGGTATTGACGGCCAGTTGCGGTAAGATGGCCATGACGGCCATGACGGTGGCGGTGGCGGAGGCCGTGGCGGTGGCGGTGACGGTGGCGGTGGCGGTGGCAATGGCGATTGCGGTGGCGGTGGCGGTGGCAGTGGCGATGGCGGTGGCGGTTGCGGTGGCGGTCGCGGTGGCGGTGACGGTGGTGGCGGAAAATAGTAGTCATAGTAGAAATAACCACCACCACCGTGTACTTCCGATATGACAAGGTCCTTCGATCTGTAAACGAATCGGCGTAGGTCACAAGCCATCGTGATCAGACCATCGTTGGTGTGCTTGAAGCTGGCACCCATGTACGAGAGGCCCCAGGGGATGGCAAAGACGACCGCCATGCACAAAATGTGCACCAAGGGCACCAAGCCGGCTGGCACCGGCGGGTGGAGCGCGACGTTCACAGCGCTTTTGCAGGCTTTTGCCACGACCGTCATAGTGTTGACAAAAGCGATCAAATATCGGCGTTTGCCATAAATCTTTGGCTGCACCCCGCCTGCAGGGCTTTCGCTTACAGGGCCCTTTTCATCGCCATGCGGTAGGACATACGCCTTCCTTCTTTTTCCCCAAGGCATCCGTCTGATGAAACCTGACACCATGTTGAGCTATAGATAGCAATTTATTGTAATATTAATCCAGTGATTTTTAGGGTTGGCTGTTTATCTCGGTGGTACAGAGCCGCCTGACCAGTAGTAGTGCGTCTGACCAGTAGTAGTGTGCCCGACCAGTAGTAGTGCACCTGACCAGCAGCTGGAACGCCGTGTAAGGGTGTCGGAGAGCACTGTGCGTTATGTTTACGCGCCCGTCAGTACGTTCATTGTTAGAGGTGCGTAAACAACAAACTTATCATCTTGTTATGATTGTCCTTGCCTGGATATCCTCAAAACCTCAAAATATATTTATTCCTTACCTGTGCCAATGTGTTGTATCCACCTCCACTGTTTAGGTGGTAGTGAAAACTACCGATTAGTGAATGAGAAGAGGCTAAATGCCTCGGCGTTAGGACGACCCGTACAGAAGTCTGTACGGTCCGAAGATATAGTCGTCAACGCGAATTATCACCAATCGGTGCAATCGTAACCCAAGTGGGTCTACCAGTGACAAGTGTCACGATTATAGCAAGAGCGCCATAATCCAGTATCACGCGTGATAAAGACAGGCAAGTGCCCGCTTAAAGATGGGCCAGCGCCCAAGTAAGGATAGGCAAGTGCCCAATGGTTAACCAAATAAGAGCGAAGATATTGCCCAGCGGCAAAGTACCAGAGAATTGGGGAAAGATCCGAGGGTTAATATGCAAGTGTGCCACAACACAATGAGCCCGCCCCCTAACTTTTACGGCTCGCAGAGGCTGGCGCTCTGGCGCCCACCGCGCCTGTAAGCTGCACAGGTAGCCAGCACTCGCTCGTGCCGCCCTACCCGCATTTATTTATTTACTTAGTTATTTCTTTCTTTATTTATTTATTTATTCATTAGCCAGTTCTCTCACAGATTAGCGCGCCATGTGTGCACGCCCGTATTTAGACCAAATTATGCCTCATTTATTTTGGGGGTGATGCGTAGCATCCGTAAGGTAGAAAGGTAGTTCATAATATGATATGCAGTACTGAGGGCATGGGCAGGTTTGTAAGGCCTGCTTAAACCGCCGCATAAATCACCCTGCACGTTGCTCAAAAGCATCGTGCTGTAGGAAGCCTGTATAAGCTGGGCAATGCTTAACCAAAAGCTTTTGGTTCATCAGCGGTGAATTGCATTTGCGTGCTCCTGTCCCCCTTAACCTGGATCTCATGGCTCTGCCGAAGCTGACCAGGATGAACGTGCTGTGAAAGAGCGACAAAGGGGAGCCGGGACCCGCTGCCAAGAGCCCTTACACTGTAGAAGAACACAGCCAAGCCGCACGCCGGCCGGCCGCGCGCCAGCGGCACTTCACGCCGCCCATGACCAAACGCGCGGCCGCACCCAAACCCCAAGGCGCGACCCACAACCAGGCCCACCTAGCAGCAAACCCGGCCGTTCACTCGCAAACGGCCAACAGACGAGCGAAAGAGAGAAAGAGAGGGAAAGACCCTCCCCAAGCCACTGCCGACGACATGAAACATCCTCATTGGGACTCACACAATCCCACCCGCGCTCGTAGCCCACCCTCTTCCCCGGCACACCTTCTCCTCCTTAAATCCCCGAAGCACCCCACGCTTGGGGCGCCTCGAGACCCAGACTTCAGCTCCAGCTCCCGGGAGCAACCCGCTGCTGTGAGAGCCGAGCTTGGAGGTGTCTGCGGGAGCAATTAAGGGGGGCCCGGGTGGGGAGCTAGCACTTACAAAACCTGAAGCTCTACTGAGTGAAGGGCAGTGCCTGGAACGAAAGAGCGGAAGCGCAATATGATCGCCAGTCGATCATGGTTGTACGACAGTCGCACAGAACCAGACTTAGAGGCTCCGATCCGTCGCATCTAAGTCAACAAATCTTTTCGACGAGTGAGCCGCAAACCAAAGCATAGCAACCCACGCGAACGGGATTCAGAGCAAGGCTACGAGGGTTATCCTAATGCGAAGTGGTGGGCGGCGAAGGCATCCCGTGCAGAGTCTCTCTCAAGCTTCGGAATGAGCTGTGTTGCTGTTCAATGTGTTCAAAAATTTCCGTTTTATGTCTCCAAGTGCAGTGTACGGCAGTCCGCAGTGGCCCCCGAGTCGCCTAAATCGCGCCCTCATTCACATAAGGCCCGACCACCGGCGAACGTTTTCTTTACCAAACTTCGCCAAAACAGGCTTTCTTGTCCTCTTCATTATGGCAACATGAAGCCCGCGTCTCCGCCGACCAGGCCGAGCGAGAAAATATTTGAACCGGAGCACCCCATGCCGGAGATGCCACTTGCTGCCCCGCTTCCGTTGGTTTAACCTGTCTTTTATTCTATGTCGATCTACTACTTTAGCAGTAAGGAAACATTGCTTCTACATGGCTGCCAGAGCCGTGGTGTTGGCCACTTATGTGAATGAGGGCGCGATTTAGGCGAGGCCACCAGCTGGGGGGGTATAATCCCTTGGGGCTTATCTGGGGCTTGCTATCATACCTATTTCTACAATCATATATAAACACAAAAAAATATTTTTGCCCATGTTTTGTACACTGCGGATATGATGATAATTGCTCCAAGACAGGAGGTTCGTCTCTTGCCTAATTGGGCATGGGATACAGTATAAGCTGGCGGGGCCCGCCCGCCCGCTCGTCCCGGGACGAGCGAGATGGCGTGAGCGCAGTCGGGTCATCAGTCCCAAAACCGACCTACCTGCCGGGACCGACGTAAGCCTTTCCGAGTAACATACTCAGGTCTGTGAGCGCATTGAAAGAATGCATAAAGTTTACAACGCTGTTGCTAGAAGTACAACGGATGAATCTACCGCACAAGCTCGGAAACACTGCACGTCACTATTTTGAGGTCCGGCAAGAGCAGATTCTTTTTGCCGAGAAACTGTATTTTGCTTTCTCGAGTAATCCGCAAAGCTCAGCAAACCGCGTACTGTGTGGTTGTTTTTCTCAGGTGTATACCCGACCTATGTCATGAGCCTTATATCAATCATATTATGGCTGCTTGCATAACAAATTGGAGAGCATAGCTTGGAAACACCTATCTGTTTCCCAGGAAACAGGGTCGTTTCCAGGGAAATGCCCTTTTTCTACGGAAAAGCCCTCGTAGTACGGAAAACTCTTTTCACATCAAATTTGAAGCCAAAAATTATTGGAAACTGCTTTCCGAATATCTCCTATTGACTCAGTATCCATGGAATACCCAATCTGTAAGGTTTTGCAGTTCGTTAGCGCGCGCTTCTGAGACCAGTCGTAACTTCGGAGTGAGGTTATGGCGCGCTAATATGACTATTTAAGCGGACCATTTCATGAACATTGTAAGTCTAAGTTGAAATTGAAAGCCCGATCTTCTGTGCTTATGCAAGTATATCGGCCAGTAAAGCCAGCTTGCACTTCTATTTGCGACACTACCTGCGACGAATTCGCTAAAACTGATTATTATTTGCTAGCACACGTTAACAACCAATAGAATGGACAGGAGCCACCTGCACAGGGGGTCTAAGCCCCCGCGCGGGACATGGGCCACCGAGGGCCACCGTGCCCCTCAGCCGACACATTCAATGCATACTAGGAATGCTAGTTCATCTGGACGATCCACAATACCACTGGAGCCATTGTTAGCTGCTCAGGAGGTGGATGAAGTTGAAGAGCTTGAATCTGCGTTTGCCCAGAGCCAGCAGCAGCAAGCAAGGCCAGCTGGCTCCCTGACGCGCAAGGGCAAGTGCTGTTCCTCACGTTTGCCATGTTTGATGGCCGGAGTCTGGGTGTTAACCAGCTGCATCTACTGATTCCGCGACGCAAGACATCATGCCAGGTGCACATGATGACGAGTTGGCATCCGATTTCGACAGCGGGCGCAGATCAGGTACGACACGCTTTAAAAATTCAAGTGGACAGCTGCAGTTGCTGACCAAGGTTCTCCCCTTTTCGGATACAGCCCTGCGTCAATCGAACAATAGGGCCGAGTCCAGCGCTGGTCGAGAGGCGCCACAGTCCGGAACCCGACAGCGCCGCGACCGTGACCGCTGCCCCGCCACCTCCCCTGCCCTTCCGCGCGCGGAGCTCCGCCACGGCGGCGCTCCCAACAACGACGCCCAGCCCCTTGGACACAGCAGCGGCGTCGGGGGACGGCAGCAGACCCAGCAGCCCGGTGACGGCGCCACCGCAGCCGGCGGCATCTGGCGCGTGCAGCCCAGCCCCAACGGCACCAGCGGCGTGCAGGGAGGCGACCGCGACCGCTGCCCCGCCACCTCCCCTGCCCTTCCGCGCGTGGAGCTCTGCCACGGCGGTGCTCCCAACAACGACGCCCAGCCCCTTGGACACAGCAGCGGCGTCGGGGGACGGCAGCAGACCCAGCAGCCCGGCGGCATCTGGCGCGTGCAGCCCAGCCCCGACGGCGCCAGCGGCGTGCAGGGAGGCGACCGTGACCGCTGCCCCGCCACCTCCCCTGAATCTCATATCAACTACTTGCACGCGTGTTTTGTCGCGGCCGCCCTTGTTGAGGGTGGCGCGCCCGTGACCAGCACACTTGGGGTTGATACATATATCACCGGGGTACTCAAGGCGGACAGTAGCTATCTGACCCGTGCTATGCAAAGCGTTGTTGTCGAGTTGGGTCAGGGCTTGCTCCGCCTCCATGCACATGTCGGCTATGGGAGACACCCCATGTTCATTGCCACGCAGGCTGTCAAATAGCTTTGTAACGGCGCTAACACTAGTTCCAGTCGCGGTCGCTATGATAGGAAGTGCGGCGGTGCGGCCGTCCGAGTTAGCTTTCTTGCCAAAGATGTTCGGTTTCAGGAATGCAAGTAGGGACATAATTGCGACCAATACTGAGTAGAAGGTTGCTAGGCTCCAGTTGTGGATTTCTGGAATGCCTTGGGTAAGATTAATCAGCTCCTCGATAAAGCGGATCGCCATTGTTAACAGATATCTAAGGGAAATGAACCCTAGATATCTTTTCAAAGTTTTCACAAGTAAGAAGACCACTCAGCTGAAAGAACGGGAAGTTCGGATTCGAAGTAAGTACGGAAAGCGCGCTTTCCGTGAAAAGGGTCTTTTCCCTTGGAAAAGGGTCTTTTCCCTTGGAAACGTCCTATCCCTTTCCAGGGAAACCAATAGGTGTTTCCGAGCTACCTAGTGACAAATTGCGGGTGCGAGGCGAAGTGCACTCTTGCGTACGGCTTAAGTCGCAAGTCGCAAGTCAGGGAACGAGCCGATACGGAAACCTGCGGAAATAGGTTTCGTCACGCTTTCCGCAGCGAAGCCCAGATTGGCGGAAATGTGGAAAGAGAATCCGCATTTCCGCCAGGGAACGAGCCGAAACTTGACCAGGTCTGTGGAAACTTTTCGTAATCGGGAGGCCCTTTGCGGAAAGGCTGCGGAAACTGCGGAAAGCTGCGAAAACTATAAAATGGATATGTAACGATGTTTTTTAGCTCTTCTCAGTGTGGCGATAACTTGGACAGTCTGAAACCAGCTTGTGGCAGTGCGGTTTCTTGAGGGCTGAATGGATTTGGACGCCATAGTGATTGCCAGAGCGTTTACAAAGCGACTAACGGCTTAGCTCAGCCACAACTCACTATTCTAGAAGCATGCCAGACCAAAGATAATCGCTGGCTCATTCCTATTTATTCACGAGTTCGACAGTCGATCAGCAAGTACGGAAGATGGCTCCACTCTATCCAGAAACCAAGTATCACGCAAGCATCAGGCGACAGACTGACCGGACAACATTTTCCTCAACACTCCCACGCGGGCAGTCTGCAAGCCTGTTCGACTATCGCACTCCCATAGCCAAACGAAATCGCTTGAACATCGCATGACTCAACGGTTTCGTCATGCAATCGGCGACCATATCAGCCGTACCACAATAACGAAAGCAAACCTCGCTTCGCTCAACTCGCTCTCATACGAAGTGGTGAGCGACATCTATGTGCTTAGTTCGCACCAAAGAACCAGGATTCTCGATAAGAGAAATAGCTGCCTTATTATCGCACGCTATGCTGACGCAGTTAGCGTCAACCCCCAACTCCAGGAACAATTGCCTCAACCACAAAGCTTCTCGTGTAGCGGCCGCGGCAGCCATGTACTCAGCTTCAGCAGTCGAAACTGCCACAGTAGGCTGGACACGACTGGACCAACTAACAGCCGCGTTCGAATGCAAAAACACAAAGCCAGTGGTCGACCTCCGGGTATCAGGGCAACCAGCATAATCAGCATCGGAAAAGCCCTGCAGGCCACCGTTCCCATCGAACACCAAACCAAGATCGCGCGTACCAGCCAGATACCGCAAAACACCCTTAGCCGTCAAAAGATGGTCTTTGGTAGGTTTCGACATATGACGTGCGAGCGCTCCCACGGGCTGAGAAATGTCCGGCCTAGTACAGGACGAAAGATACATAAGTCCGCCCACTAGCTCGCGATACTCGTTGCCCACAGACTCATCCCCCGCTTCAGCAACATAAAGCTGAACTCCAGGCGAAAGCGGTGTAGCGCGACCGTTGGCATCAGCAAAACCAAATTTCGACAACAGGCCTTCAGAATACTTTCGCTGTGACAACTTAAGCCACTTTTCGTTCACGCTTCTTTTGATCTCCATACCAACGAAACGATCGACAGGCCCTAGGTCTCTCGTCTTGAAAACCTCCATCAACCGTCTTTTCACCTCGTTAACCAATTCTTGGCATTTAGCAGCCGTGAGGGAGTCATCCACGTTGATCAAGAAATAAACATGATCATCCCCCTCGTCACAGACAAACATAGCAGGATCGGCAGCAGTAGGCTTGAAGCCCATCTTCCTCAACTCCTCCTTGAGACTGCCGCAGACCGTAAAGCGACTTGTGAAACAAACAAGCATCATCAGGTCCACCAAGGTCATAGCCTGGCAGCTTGCTGCAAAACACAGGCTCCTCTAGATCTCCGTTAAGAAACGCGGTCTTGACGTCCATCTGTTCCAGAACTAGACCACGCGCAGCAACAACAGAAAGCAGAGCACGAAGGGTGGTGTGCTTTCCCACAGGCGCGAATACTTCATCGAAATCTATCCCTTCCTCTTGGCGAAAACCTTGCGCTACCAAGCGCGCACGATAACGTTCGATGTTTCCATGCTCATCCCGCTTACACTTGAAGACCCAAATGAGAGGAATGGGTGCAACTCCAGGTGGAGGCGGTTGCAGCGTAAATGTATTATTGGACAATAGCACTTTAACTTCCTCGTCACACGCAGCCTTCCAGTGACTAGCATCGGGACGACTAAGAGCTTCCTTCAACGATTTGGGCTCTTCGTCAATATTAACAGCACTCAAAGCTAACGCCACATCACAGTACCTAGCGGGAGGAACACCCAAGTTGCTTCTTGTAGATCGCCTAAGTCCCTCAAATTCAACCGAAGGTACAAGTGGAACTGGAGGCGCATGTGGCACAGGAGGCGCAGGAGGCGAAGCAGCAGATCCACTAGTAACCTCTCCCCCCCCACCCTCCGAAGCCGACACTGGTGCGGGTGGAGAAGGACCCGACGAAACGCTACCACTAGGGCTCCCACGCACTTGAACGGCGGTAACCCCACTAGGTGCCGGCTCATCATCGGAGTCGTCTAGAACCGGATTAACATTTCCTACCCGGTTCTGCACCTCATCATCAGAAGCATCATCCCAAAGCGATGCAAGCACAGACTCCTCATCAAATTCAACGTCCCGACTCACTACTACTCTATTGAGTTCGGGAACAAAGACGCGGTAGGCCCTAGAACCGGCCTCGTATCCTACGAAAATGCCTCGCGACGCAACTTTATCAAGCTTATCCCTATTTTGCTTAGGGATGTGAACGTAGAGGTCGGGAGAGGTCGGGCTTAGAGCAGAAAAACAGTTCGTAAGGGGTATTAGGCAAATCATTAACAGGAGACCTGTTTCGCAAATAATTAGCAGTAATAACAGCATTGCCCCAAGAAGATTTGGGCAAATCGGCCTGAAAAAGCATCACGTGCACCTTCTCCATCAACGTGCGATTTAGACGCTCTGCCGATCCATTTTGCTGTGGCGTGTATGGAGCGGTTGTCTGATTGATAATGCCCCTATCCTTGTACCACGCCGCTAACTCCGCGTTAAGATACTCCCGACACCTATCCGTACGAACTACCTTCGTCTTCTCTCCGCACTGATTTTCTAACATAGTCAGCATCTCCTTCACACAACTCGCCACCTGATCCTTTCGCGACAGAAGGCAAACAACTGACATAGGTGAAAAATCGTCCAAAAACGTAGCAATGTACGAATGGCCATCACGGGAGGTGACAGGAAGCGGACCACACACATCCATATGTACCAAAGCCAACTTCTTATCTGACAATTTGGCCTCGACGCATGTGCCGCATACCGACTCACCCTCTACACGAAAGTCCTTCGCCGGTACAGCGATCCCGGTGACCATACCACCGTCAACCAGACGAGCCAGGTTCCGAAAGCTCAGATGACCGAGCCGGCAGTGCCAAAGATAGGCATCGGACACAGACCTGGATGAAAACACATTGACTGGCGCGGGGGGTTCAGGCAAAATCATAGTACCCTTCAGGCGGTAAGCTCCCCGAGAATAAGGGAAGCTATGAGACCAGGTACCGTCGCTACTCCTGACAACAGCCTTAGGTGCCCGCAGAGGTGGACGAACCCTAACGAATAGTGAACGGGCTGGCAGGAAACCTTCTCGCGAATTCCAACTCTCCCGACTATATGGGAGTCCTCGTTTGGAGCTTCCGTAGATCCCCTCAAATTCCACACTCACTCCTTTCTCAACGAGGACACGGACAGACAACAAGCGGTGCTTGAATCCCGGGACATGGAATACCCCGGTAAACTCCAATACCTCGTCCTGATCACTAAGCACTCGAAGATCCCCAAAACCAACTACACGAAGTCGCCTACCATCCGCGATCTCAACGAACATGTCACCGTCGATCCTCTGGTAGTTCCAGAGGCACGTAGAATCGGGAGACATGTGGTACTGGGAACCGGAATCCAGCACCCAGCTGTCGTCGGCATCGCCATCCGCGGGAGCGACGGCTTCTTGAATTTTGACGCCAGGCTTCTTGACGACGGGCGGTGTATTGACGCGTGCAGAGATAACGACAGGCGCCTCGAGCGCCGAGAAAGATGTAACCCTTTTGCCGTACACTTCGGAGATTTTCTTCTCCGTGCGCTTCTTCTTGAAATAGGGGGGTCCTTGTGAAGCAGCTGCCCGCGTTTCCAAAGCCCGTATGGTGTTGGATTGTAAGGTGCCCAAGTACGTTTGCGAGGAAGAGAATGTGGCCAGGCTGGAGAGGAAAGTGCAGTGGCATATTGGAATGTGAGATTAGCGTAAGCGAGTTACAGGGTGTTTGGTGCACGGGTGAATTTACGTGCATACCTTTCACCGTAGCATCAGTCCTGAGTTCACTTCTTGGAACGAACATCAGCATAGGTCCAAGCCCTCTCGCTTGGAGGGATATATGCAAACAAACATCCTGATAGGTAAACTCGCATGCTACCGAGCATTCAACCGAGCACATGCATGCTTGGATGTATGGAAAGAGGCCCCACAAGGGCTACACGAAGTAGACGAACGAGTGGAGTGGCTGATGAACAAGCCAATGCCAGAAGGTGTGATTTTGGAGTTCAAGGACCGATTAATGAGTGGTTGGAAGCATACACGTTTAGATGTCCACCCTGACGTGTATCCATCAGACGGCAAACAACCAGGAATTCACATGGCGAAGTATAAGCATTGGATGGGGCTGGCGGCCGAGCAAGCGGGCAGGAAGGAGGTGCTCCCGCACATCACAATGTTTATCCCACGTTTGGCGAATCGCAAGCTTATGCAGTTTAGGCTTTGCTGTTGGGCACTGGCGGCTAACAGAGCGTGTAAGGGACGGCGTTATACACCTAGGGAGGAGCGAGTATGCCCATGCTGCGGCACTGATAGCCACATCGAGGATGAGAAACACATTTTGCTGGACTGTCCGGTTTACGACGGAATCAGATCTGATATGGGCTTTCCACGCTTCGAACATATGAAGGACGCTATGAAGTGGGAACCTGAACGCCTGGCAAGAATGCTGGAACGTATATGGTCTCACCGCAACTCTATCGTTCCCTTTGGTCGTTAGTATACTCCATCACTTGTTTCGTTGGAAGTGCGAGGTAGGATGGTGCTTATAGGCGATTTGGCAGCCCTTGAGCCCTCGGCTCGTACTAGGGTGGTTTGCAGGTACGGGGAACACACCCACGACCATGTAACAATAACAATAACAACAACATGCATGCTTAGTTGAATGGTGAGATGCGACCCCCCTTCATTTCGTGCTCGGCAAGCCTGCCACCGCGTACCGGATATGTTGGCGATGTTACAGAGACGCTGCACCTTGGTTTCTGTGCCCAATGCATACGATGCTCGACCCCGCCGACCAAAACTACACGTGCCCAACTGAAGACACACCGGTGGTTGTGCAGCAGCTCTTGAGGCTTTGTTGGCTGAAATCCATCCTGAGCTAACGTGGGCTAACGCGGGCACGTCCCTATGCACAGCAAATAGCTGTTCCAAGCCAACAGCGGCGTCCATGTCACCGACAAGGCTCTAAACGTCTTATCTGTTCTTATGCATAATTAAGTTTATGTATGTTATACTTTGCGCAACTTTGTAATTTGACTTTAGTCGGAACAAGGTGCTGTATGCAACGCGCTGGCGCACCTCGTTTGCTTGCGCAAACTGCCGCTTCGCCAAACGCTTCCTCTTCCGCGGCCGTTGCAAGCTACCTTGTTTGCTTTCATATCTTTTCATATCTTATTCGGCTCAGGCTAAGAAGCCAGCCAAAAGTCCGAGATGCATCCCTATGGCATAAACATGCCGGTTACCGACCGTTTGGGGCCCATTAACCCAACCGGCCGGTTGAATGGCGTTAACGGCCCGGTTGGTTTA